GTTGCAGGGCGTCGTACGACGCAAATCGGATGCAGTGTGAATCCAGCACAAGACTTCCGACTGCCAACAGTGCCAACTCATTATAGAATCAGCATTAAAGTTAGATTATCAATTTAGATAATAAGTGCAGAGAAAAAATTGTAATTTTTCAGCAATATATAGGATATTATAGCTTTACAAGTATGCATATTTATTTATGGAGCATTTATGTAATAAAAAATCATGAATTTAAAAATGTATTAGCCAAATATTTATGTTAATAATCGCAAATTTATATCAATTATATCATTATTGTCGATAATGTCAGAGTTCTTCCTGGCTCTTTTTGTATGGACGAAAATTTGCCCAGGATTAGCGATCATTAATAGTATTTTGTCGATGATATAAATATTGGGCAAGTTTTTTAATTCATCGATTGATCAATTGCATTATGCACAAATGCAGCTTTTATGGAACAAAATTACATTTGCGCACAGTGCGATTGATTAATCGATGAATTAAAAAACTCGCTCAATGGTCGCGTTCAGCAGACTCAACTGTTGTGGAGCAGATCCGTGAGCACTCGCTGCTATTGGTGTATTCTTTTAGATCATCCAATAACAGCGAACGCTCACGGATCCGCTCCACAACAGTGAGTCTTCTGAACGCGACCAATGTTTCCATTGTACTGCATTGTACTACAATGGCTGTCGGGAATTCCCTACTTGTTATTAATCGAAAGAATTTTTCTGCCTGGCGATAAAGAGGAAGAAGGGGATTCTAGGAACATCGTCATATTTTATACAAGGTTGCCTTTGTCATTATATACCGATCAGTTAATACGATTACGACGCAGAAGAATGAGAGTAGAGACGACGCATGTCGTTTGATTGATCGGCCTGAGTACTTTATAATTTCATCGTGAAAGTTTTGTTACGCGTGAACCATTTTCACGGAAAAGGGGAATTTGTGCCCGACAGACTCAAACGTATTCAACAATATCAAGGTAGTGTATATTTGTGCATAATCACGCGCAAGTTTCGAAAGACCACTTGGGCGACCCCGGACGTGCTCTCTTTAGTCGCAAGTGTTGCATCATCTAAAATTTTCGAAAAGCATTGTTTGTTTTGTTTCTCGAGAGCTGCTCGGGGTCGCTTCCGAGAGATAAAACGAACAATACTAGTGACAGACTTGAAACATTGATGAAATTTTAGAGTCTAGCATGACCGCTCGAGTAGGACGGACGCTCGTCTGGCTTGCTTCGGGTATTGCATCATCTCATTAATTTTTTGAAAAGCGTTTCCGGCTTCAACTGTGCTTTGCATTACATTATTATTTTGACAAGACTGGCCAAGCTCACCTCATTGGCGAAGGCCCGGGCCAATTATATATAGAAGAAGAAGAAGAATTGATGAAATTTGGTCGTATTGACTTCTAAAGATTTTTTTTCTCGGAAGGCAGGTGCTATATAGTAAAGAAATAAGTGCATGTGTAGAAAGCGTTACTTGCCGTTCGTTATAATCTCATGGTATATAGTTTTCACCGAAATCCTTACTAATTTTATTCCACTTCATCAGATCAAATTTACAGAATTGTTTCCATTAAAACTAAAGATTTATCGGATAGAAGCTGGAATGAAATAAAAGCACAGTTAAATACGTCTTCGACTTATAAATTTAATTCTATGTAACATTAAATGCTTCGGTGGAAATTAGACCTCTTATGAACTGACAAGTTACAAATAGTAAAATGCAGTAGAAGAACCATTACACGGATATAAGAAGAAAAATATGATAGAAGATATGATGCAATACTCAGGGTTTTTATAATGATCCATTGTGTTACACTTATGTCTTTTTTGAAAAACAAATATTTCGCTTTTCCTACATTCTTGCATCATTATTTTCATGGATGCACTTTATCTAGGTTCATATTCTATGTCCACAGTTATTGCTTGCTGCAACTTTGGACTCCTAGATTAAACACACCATCATATTTAAATTAAAAACGTCTGTCTATGTCATCTTTTTGTCCTGAATCATTCTATAGTATTTCATTGAAACACAACACTTTTTAACATCATTATTAACAAATATATTTAATATATTTGTTAATAATGATGTTAAAAAGAATCAGATTATCCACAGCTATAAGAAGTGACTATACAGTTGCATTTATTTTTTAATTTTTTTATTTGCATCATCCAGAAAATTTATATCTCTTTTTAATATTAAAAATTCCTTCTTTTGATCAAAAAATTGCTCTGTTTTAAATTTTTTAATCCGTTTATCTTTAAAACTGAATTTTAATTATTTTATGAATTGTAGAATTGTATGTGATGCATATATGATAATACAGATTCTTAAATCATTGTACGGAGTCTGTTACTGATATGTATTTTGATTTGAAATTGTGATGGAAAGGAAACATGTTTAAAATCTTCAAGAGTTCTGATAGATTATTTTGTTTGAATCTTAAATCTGAGTCTGAAATCTGAGTCTGTTGCTTAAAACAGAAGGTACAGAGAAAAAAGAATATATGGTTATTCTTTAACACATTTTAAAAAACTAATCTGGAATTCAGTTAATATTGATTTAATCAATAAGTTTCTGCAGTATTGATCAAAGTAATTATTAAAAATCTATAGGATAAAAGGGTTTATATTAAGAAAAACAGAAAAATTATTAGTAAGATATTAAAATTTATGTATAGTTATACAGTAATAAATAAATTATTAAGTTATTAATATTCAAAAGTGTTTATGATCACTTTTCATCTTTTTTATTGCAAAAAGAAATCAAACGGTAAGTGAACACAAAGTTTGTATCAATGTATTTTTAGATGACGCGTAGAAGAAAAGGGAGATCTACTGGAATGAAACATAGTGATCAGCCACCCAAAGTGTCTTCTCCTGTGGCTGAGATGGAGGTTGAGATCATTTGCCTAATCTGGAAATACCGACTAGATAGTGAAAATCCATTTACTTAAAATAAAAAAAAAAATATTTTTCTCAATGTTGCATTTTATGCTACCTTTTAGATTTTAAAACATCACAGTCATGAATTTATTTGCTTCCTCTGTATCATTGGTAAACATATTGGCTGCGTTCAGCAGACTCAGCAGTTTTGCAACCGTTTTATTCGTCGCGCTGATTGGATTATACTTTTAGATTTAAAAGAATAGTCCTATCTCAGCGAAGAATCACAAAACGGTTGCAAAACTGTTGAGTGCTGAACGCAGCCATGGTGTCATTTGATATGTTTAGATGCCGTTATCATGAGAGATAAGTTTCAATAGATAATGTCTGCAAGTATAGCTGAATACTTATTGTAATAATGGGATTATAAAATACATAGTCTATATACGATAATGGATTTTCCTAATCGATAAACTTTGTAGTAGTTGAGACTTACAGCATATATTTGTTTTATGCTTTTAACGCTTCCATGGGTATTTATGGAAGCTGTATTTTTCGCGGGTTGTCTCTGTGCCAGATCCATTGTTAAAATGCAAACGTTGCGTGAACATTGCAATTCACTTCAGTATCGGACTCCTTGTTCTGAAGAAGTAAAATGCAATATTCACAAAATGTTATAACATTCTAATAACTGTTCTACAAAAAAAATCCAAATGGCACCAGATATTTCGGTTAGTTTTTTTGGACGCTAAATGCGAATCTAGTTTCCAAATTGTTCTACCACGGTATAGTTTTGAGAAATTGCTAGTTAAATTTGAAAAAGGGTTATTTATTTTGAAGTACCTCATATATTGTAATGATATGTGAGGTGTTGAAGTTTTATTACGATCAAAATAAAATGCGTCCTAGGATTTTTCCTCCTGAAGGGGAATTTTTAATGTCAGTTATGAATTAATGAGATATTTATCAAAATTTAGTGTCAGTTATGGTTAATGAGATATTTATGATAAAATACGGAGTTCTCTTACGGAAATGAACTATTGGAAAATAATCACTATTGGATTTTAATAGTAATTATTCGCTTTTTAATAGTGAGTATTTATTATCCAATAATCGGGTTGTTCACAATAACCACTCCTCAATAGTTTTTAACGAAGTAATTATTATTGATTCCACTAGTTGGATTATGTGCAATAATCATTTCCCAATAGCTTTTGACGGAGTGAGATTATTGATTCCCTAATCAAATTATTAAAATAATCGTTCCTCAATAGTTTTTGACTGAGTGATTATTGATTTTTTAATCAGATTTAGATTATCTATAATGATCACTACAGCGCACTATTTTAATAATTATGTATATAAATGATTATATTACGGCTTTCAGTAGTTAGAACTATCCACAATAATGACTATTTAAATAAATTGTGCCTAATTTTAATTCATTAAGCCTATAATCAAGAGACTATAATGCCATATCAGTAATCAAAGTTTGCAATAATCATCAGTAATCAAAGTTTGCAATAATCATCAGTAATCAAAGTTTGCAATAATCATCCTTGTAGTCAAATTATTCGTTGGACAAATTAAACTAAAATTTTTTAGATTCGTTTATGAAATAAAATATCCACGTACGTGCGTGCGTGCGTGCGTGCGTGCGTGCGTGTGTGTGTATCTTGAATATACGTGAGCTTTTTGACAATATTCATTGACCAGATGTGTCACAGTTATACATTTATAAATATTCAGGATTCGTGGATCATCGAAGAGGCAATTTTCATACGATCGTAGAAGTCAGGCAAGTCTAGATGAAGTACAGCTTTGGATGGGTGACAGAGCATCGTGAAATTAAATACCGATTTCGAGAGAAAACCTTTTTTTTATCATAATTTTGTCGTGTATATTCTGTAATATGATGCTAAATACTAATATTTATTTTAGCAGTAACACTGAATTAATTAATTTTTTAAATAATTATTTAAATAGTTTTCCCAATAATCTAATAGTAGCTCTTCTCAATAGTTCGCAGAAAAAGTGCGACTGAATAATCAAATAGTTTCACTAATAGTCCATTTTCGTAATAGTTTGTTGTGAAATGAAAACTATGAATTAAATCATTGACGATTTATCAAATAGCTTTTAATTATTCTTATTTGAACTTAAGGGATTTTGGGGGGGGAGGGGGTTAAAGCCTGATATCAAAATCGAAAGATTTAAAATTATAAAAACTTGTATACGTAAAAATTTTCATAATACTATGTTTCATCCGTCATATTGAATACATAATTTTGAATTTGGCAATTATGATATCGGATTTATATTTAACGGTCTAAGAAATCCTTAAATTTGAACAAATATAATAGGAAGTTTTTTGGTAAATTGTTAATGACCGTATTGACAGGCATATTTTGATAACAAATTTTATATTTAATTATGAGTATCAATAACCGACACTACAAATCCTTTTGAGGACTAAAAATTCTAAGAATGCATTTTATTTTGATCGCAATAAAACTTCTCTAATATGTTACATATTGTACTCATAATTTTTTGATAAAGTACCCGAAAATAGCTCTTCTTTGCAACTTTAACATGCAAATTTCTCAAAACTGTAACATGATAGAGCAATTAGGAAACCGGATTCATATTCTGAATTCATAAAACTACAGGAAATGACTTGTCCCGTTCCAGGCTTCGAAAGAAATAATTTTTTGTCGAACTTTGTAATGGATCTGGACGCGGAGAACCTGCGAAACGTACAGCTTCTTTATATTTGTCTCTCGAATCTTAGAACTTCAATGAATTTTAATCCGTAATATGTTCCACAATGGCATTGCACAGGGTGGCTACTAAGTATTCTAACAGATTTTAAGGAAAAATTCCTCACATAAATTCAGGACGAAAACATGACTATACATACAAAACTATTTAGTTTAGAGATATAATATCAAAGTTTTGAAGAAAAAATTCGTTTTTTTCCGAAGTTTTAAAAATTATTTTCGTTATTTTTTGATGATTTGAGAAACTTTGCGTATGTGTTTAAAGTATGTAACTCGAGTTGTTTTCGTAATATGTGGAAAAAACGAAATTTTTCCTTCAATTCTAACATCATATATATCTTTGCAACAAAACCTTTTCGGTTATATGCTCATTTGGAATTTCCGTTTTGAATTTATGTAAGAAATCGCATCTTAAAGTCTTTTAGAGTACTTAGTAGTTACCCTATAGATATTCTTAAATTATCATAGACATTATAAAATTATCATAAACTGCAAAAGAAATAAGAGGTAGCACTCTTGCAATACAAGCAAACTTTTGTTGTAGACTCCTTTACAGAAAGCTCAAAAATATAAGAATGCAGGAAATGTACATTTTTCAATGGGAAAATATAATGAAGCCATTGTTCAATATAATAAAGCAATTGACATTTGTCCAAAAGAGAACGTGGATGATCTCGCGATTTTTTATTACAACAGAGCGACTACGTATAAGCAATTGGTAATGAAATTGATGATACTGCTAATAGAAGCATAACATGAAAATTTATTTAAATTTATTGATTAAATTAATGTGGTATAAGTGTCTATTTATAAGACGCAACTGTAATTGCAATTTGCAGAAAAAATATAATAGTGTGAAGGCAGATTGTACAAAAGCGTTAGAATTGAATCCAAAATACACGAAAGCTTTGCTTTGTCGAGCACGTACTTTGGAGCAACAAGGGGATTTGGAAGCCGCTTTGAAAGATATCACTACTGCCTGCATTCACGCAAACTTTTCTGATCAAGCTTTCCTTTTAAAGGCGGAAATAGTCTTGGATAAGCTTGGTGAGTTACACATTAAAAGCATTAGTACTAAATACTATCAACGATAAACTAGAATAAGAATTGAAAAATAATGCAAAGAAATTTTATGACTTACAAATTAAAATTATTTTTAGTGAAACAGCATTTCCTGAAGGAATCGACAAACAAAGTATTTTTTCTGCCTACGCATTTAATCGAAATAGATCATATTAGAATCTTCTCTAGAGATCCAATACTTTCTAGACTTGAATATCCAGAAAACATTCCAAAGTAAGTATAGGCAAAAAATTGTTTTTGTGTAATTATGACGTTTAATTTTTAATGCGTTTGTTACCAGATTTTTCAAGAAACCATTACAAGCGTTAAAAAATAGAGAGTACCATAATATAATATCGATGTGCACAGAAATTATTGAAAGTCCCAAATTTTATACATTACCTCCCTCTAAACTAGAGGTGCTGTTATTACGATCTACATTTTACTTAATTTGGCAACGTTACAGTGCTGCAATCCACGATCTTGATGTTATTTTGTTTAGCGAAGATGTATGTGATGACATAAGGGTAAACGCCTTGATAAAAAAAGCACGGGTGTACATGGTAATTGGGTCTTCAGAAATGGCTTTCAAGATCTTTGAATTAGCCCTTACCATAAATCCAAGTTGTAGTGATATCTACTATCATAGAGGACTGGTATATTACGAACTTACACATTGACTATATTTTCTTATCGTATACATGTATATAGAGTCATAACATATTACGAAGCAGTGTAACATACTATTTTATCATTTAAGGCATATATGAACATACAGAAGCTAGGCTGCGCTAAGCGCGATTTTGAAAAGTCCGTTGAATTGAATCCAAACTTCAGCATGGCACACATGCAAAAATGGTATGCAAATTATCATTTTGCATTGTTGAATGGAAATATATGTTTAGCCGAAATTACTGTGAGAGACGTTGAGAAAGCTATCGACAAGTACTCAAATTCTCTTGAATGTGTATGTTGTTATGTTTTATATGCTCTGGTACGTATAATTATCTATAATTTTGGAAGAAAAAATTAAAATTATGAAAAAAATGAAAGTGATAAAGCATTAATGTTATGTCGTACACATTTTGATTTATTCGTGAAATTTTCAATCTTTATAGATGATGCTCAGAACTCAACAGTATCAAAAGGCTCATATTTATTTTGTCAAAGCAATAGAAAAAGATCCGGATTACGCTATTAGTTATCTGCTATTGTGGAACTGTGATGTTAAGGACATCGAGAAATACTTCAACAAAGCAATAAAATTGGATACATGCTCTGTTGCAGGCAAGACTCTGTGTATTAAAATATTAAGATTGATCGAAATAGAACGGTATGTTTTCAATATAATTGTTTCTTACAATTATTGTACGTTGCAATTTTTAAAAGGAACCATTTTTTCTTTCAGGGGGAACATAGAGGAAGCAATAAATTTATCTGATAAGGCTTTAGCATTCTGTCATACATTCGAGGAACTGCTATACATGTACAGTATTAACCCTATATGCGTTTTTGATGTAAAGAATCGATGTGCACTTATTATTCGTTTCCTTCGATCATACTCTCGATTCATCGGTATACAAAATGCGGAGGAATCCGACAAACATATCCCCATTGACAGCGATGGACCATCCAAAGTGCTTTCTCCTGCAGCCGAGTCGGAGGTTGAGACAGCGTGCCTTATATGGAAGCGTTTTCTATTGACTGCAAAAATGCACTTATTCAAAATTCACAATCCAAGAGGATTTTGAATTTCTGATAAATCTTCTTGTATCTTACGATTATGAACGTCCGTTTCTTGGATCCCAAACATACCAAAATGATAGATTTATAATTTCCTTTTTTTAATGTATTTGTTAATTGATAGCTATAGTTATATACCATCAGTATCTCAAAATATCGTTATCACGAAAAACAATCTTCAGTAAATAATATATTGTGTGCAAACATTGTTGAACTTGATGAGATTTTGAAATGCATAGTTTATAGATTTGTCTCTTAGAATTTCAATGAAATAACTTGAAGCGCCTTCCATAATGGCATTATATGCCTATGAATTTATCAAAAAGGTAGTACTTTAATGATAAATGCAAGTAAATTCTTTTATTTTAGACTTCTTTACAAAGAGCGCAGAAGTATAAGAACGAAGGAAATGTATATTTCAAAACGAAAAAATATAATGAAGCCATTACTGAATATACTAAAGCAATCGACATTTGTCCCAAGGAGAATAAGAATGAACTCGCGACTTTTTATCAGAATAGAGCGGCTGCGTATGAGCAATTGGTAATAAGATGTTTGTAATATTCATAATAAGCTTAACATGAAAATTTGATTTCAATTGATTGTCGAAGTTGTTGGTGATATGTGTCACTGTGTGTACAATTGTTGCCATTTTCAGAAAAAATATATTTCCGTAAAGGCAGATTGTACAAAAGCGTTAGAACTAAATCCAGAATATATTAAAGCTTTGCTACGTCGGGCACGTGTATTGGAGCAAACAGGGGATTTGGAGGCCGCCTTTAAGGATATGACTACTGCCTGTATTCACAAAAACTTTTCCGATCAAGCTTCCCTTTTGAAGGCAGAAATAATCTTAGAAAAGCTTCGTGAGTTACATATTAAAAGCGCTTACAAGTAAACTTTTGTATCACTCGTACATTTTATTGAAATTTTACAGATTTATGGAGTAGTAAAAAATATTGGACGCTTTTTTTATATCGTCAAAGGTACAGTTTTAAGGATGAAAATGACCCTTTGTATTTGTTGTAAAGAAGTAATCAATTCTTTGCACTTAAACTCAGGTATTAACCTGAGTTTTTTTGTGTCTTAAGCCCGGTTGCATCAACGTTACTTCGACATTAAGCAAGACTTAAAACTATATCTCGTTTTAAAGCCGAAAGAGAGGGAAAAATAGAGAGAATTTTAAGCCTCGCTTAAAGTCAACGTAACGTTGGTGCAACTGAGTCTTGGAGATGTGGCAAAGGTTTTGAGACACGACCAAAAATTTAAAAAATAATTGGATCCGCCATTTTGATTTTTATAATTCCAATATTGAATTTTCTTCCAGCAATATAAAAACCTTTTGTTGTATCTAATGCCCAATTTCTCCTACACCTCTAAATAACTTTATCCAAGCGAGATCTCCTAGAGTACAATGGAGATGTCTCCTGGATAGGGTTATCCGCAATTTATCTGGAAGTGAAGAATTGGTCATAAGATTAAAAAATAACTCTAATATTTGAGCTTAAGTACAACGAATTAATTACTGATTTATAAATACAAGGGGTCGTTTTTACCAATAAAACTGCAACTTTGCCGATATAAAAAAATGTTTGTCTAATATTTTGAATTATTCTACAAATGTACTGAGGTTCAATAAAATCGGCGAGTTGACACAAAGGTAAGGTTACTGATTAGTATTAAATAAAATAGTATTCATAGCAAAAAACTAGAATAAGAATTGAAATATAACAGAAAAATTTAATGACGTATAATCAAAATTATTTTTAGTGAAACAAGTCCAGGAAAACGCGACACATGAAAACTTTTTTATGCTAACTGCTCATGCCATCGAAATATATTATATTAGAGCTTTCTCTAACGATCCAGTACTTTCTAGACTTGAACATCAAGAAAACATTCCAGAGTAAGTATACGCAAAATTTAGTAGAAATGTGATATTCAATTTTTAATTTTTGTTCGTTATTAGATTTTTCAAGAAACCATTACAAGCGTTAAAAAACAAGGAGTATCATAATATAATACCGCTGTGCACAGAAATCATTGAAAGCCCTGGATTTGATAAATTACCTTCCTCTAAACTAGAGGTGGTGTTATTACGAGCTACATTTAACTCATTTCGGAGCGATTATTCTGCTGCGATTCATGATTTTAAAATTATTTTATCTAGTGAAGATGCACTTGATGATGTAAGGGTAAACGCCTTGATAAAAAAAGCAAATCTACATAGAAAAATTGGGAATCGATATTTGATTTTTAAGGACTTTGATTTAGCCGTTATGATAAATCCAAGTTGTAGCGATATCTACTATCATAGAGGACAGGTATATTACACACTTAAACATTGAACATATTTTTCTTGTGGCACACATGTAGTTTCCACGTATTTTGAAGCAGTGTATAAACAATCTTATTTTGTTATTTAAGGCGTATTTGGATATTCAAATGCTAGACGAAGCTAAGCGCGATTTCGAAAAGGTCGTTGAATTGAATCCAAACTTCAGTGCGGCACATATGCAGAAATGGTATGCAAATTATCATTTTGCAGTATTGAACAGAGATTTAAGTTTAGCCGAAATGACTGTAAGAGATGTTGAAAAAGCTTTTAATATCGAAAGGTACTCGAATCCTCCTGAAAGTGTATGTTGTTGTATTTTGTATGCTCAGGTTGGTATAATTACCTATAATTTTGAAAAAAAGAAATAAAATCACAAATAAATCAAAAGTGATACAGGATTAGTATTATGTTGTACATGTTGTGATTTATTGATGAAATTTTTAATCATAGATAATGTCCAAAACTGAACAGTATCAAAAGGCTGATACTTATTTTGTTAAAGCAATAGAGAAAGATCCAGATTACGCTATTGTTTATCTGCTTTTTTGGAACTGTAATCTTGATAACACTGTGAAATACTTGAACAAAATATTAAAATTGGAGACATGCTCTAATGGAGGCAAGCTTAGATGTATTGAAATGTTAAGAACAATCGAAATACAACGGTATGTTTTCAATATAATTGTTTCTTACAATTATTGTACGTTGCAATTCTCAAAATAAACCAATTGCAATTATGTGTTTGATTTACGTAAAGAATATGGTGATGTTTAATGAAATTATTTTGAATCGATTTTTTCTTGCAGAGGGAACATAGAAGAAGCAATAAAATTATCTAGTAAGGCTTTAGCATTTTGTCGCACATTCAAGGAACTGTTACACATATACAGTGTAGACGCTATAAAGAGACATCTTAATATACAACATCCATTTGGACATGTTATTCATTTCCTTCGATCATATTCTCAATTTATCGATGTTCAAAATGCACAAGAATCCGACAAACGTATCCCCATTGACAGCGATGGGCCATCCAAAGTGCCTTTTTCTGTAGCTGAATCGAAGGTTAAGAGCTTTCTATGAAAGCGTTCTCCATTCATTGCAAAAATACATTTATCCGTAATTTATAATCTTCGTAGTATATCTTATGAGCGTCTGCTTATTGGATTCCAAAAATATCTGAGTAATAGGTTTATAATTTCCTTCTTAGTATATATTTCCTCATTGATAGCGATAGCTGTATGTATACCATTAACTTCTCTTGATTATCGTTCTCACGAGCGATAAATTTTAGTAAATAATATATTGTCTGCAAACACTGCTGAATTTGATGAGATCATGAAATTCGTAGTAATAGAAATTAACTCTTAGAACTTCATTAAAATAACTTGAAGCGTCTTCCGTAATGGTATTATACATGTCTATAAACTTATCGTAAACATCAAAAAGGTAGTACTTTAATGACTAATACAAGTAAATTCTTTTATTTTAGACTCCTTTACAAAGAGCGCAGAAGTATAGGAACGAAGGAAATGTATGTTTCAAAACTGGAAAATATAATGAAGCTATTGCTGAATATACTAAAGCAATCGATATTTGTCCCAAGGAGAATAAGGATGAACTCGCGACTTTTTATCAAAATAGAGCGGCTGCGTATGAGCAATTGGTATTAAGATATTTGTATTAGTCATAATAAGCTTAACATGAAAATTTGATTCAATTGATTGTCGAAGTTGTTGGTGATATGTGTCACTGTGTGTACAATTGTTGTAATTTTCAGAAAAAATATAGTTCCGTAAAGGCAGATTGTACAAAAGCGTTAGAACTAAATCCAGAATATATTAAAGCTTTGCTACGTCGGGCACGTGTATTGGAGCAAACAGGGGATTTGGAGGCCGCTTTTAAGGATATGACTACTGCCTGTATTCACAAAAACTTTTCCGATCAAGCTTCCCTTTTAAAGGCAGAAATAATCTTAGAAAAGCTTCGTGAGTTACATATTAAAAGCGCTTACAAGTAAACGTTTGTAACACTCATCAATTTTATTGAAATTTGGTAGATTTATGTAGTAAAAAATATTCGACGCTTTTTTTATATCGTCAAAGGTACAGTTTTAAGAAGGAAAATGACCTCTGAAAAGAAATAATCAATTCTTCGCACACTTAAACTCAGGTATTAGAGTTTTTTGTGTCTTAAGCTCGGTTGCATCAACGTTACTTCGACATTAAGCGAGACTAAAAACTGTATCTCCTTTTAAAGCCGAAAGAGAGGGTAAAATAGAGAGAATTTTAAGCCTCACTTATAGTCATTGTAATGTTGGTGCAACCGAGCCTTGGGGATGTGGCAAAGGTTTTGAGACACGATCAAAAATTAAAAAATTAATTGGATCCGCCATTTTGATTTTTATAATTCCAATATTGAATTTTCTTTCAGCAATATAAAAACCTTTTGTTGTATCTCTAATACCCAATTTCTTCTACACCTCTCGATAACTATCCAAGAAAGATCTCCCAGAGTACAATGGAGATGTCTCCTGGATAAGGTTATCCGCAATTTATCTGGAAGTGAAGAAATTGGTCATAAGATTAAAAAATAACTCTAATATTTGAGCTTAAGTACAACGAATTAATTACTGATTTATAAATACAAGGGGTCGTTTTTATCCTTAAAACTGCATCTTTGCCGATATAAAAAAAGTGTGCAGCATACTTTAAACAATTCTACAAATGTACTGAGTTTCAATAAAATCGGCGAGTGACACAAAGGTAAAGCTACTTGTTAGTATTAAATAAAATAGTATTCATAGCAAAAATTAGAATAAGAGTTGAAATATAACAGAGAAATTTATTGACGTATAATCAAAATTATTTTTAGTTGAACAAGTCCAGGAAAATGTAACATCCGAAAATTTTTTTATGCTAACTACTCATGCCATTGAAATATATTATATTAGAGCTTTCTGTAACGATCCAGTACTTTCTAGACTTGAACATCCAGAAAACATTCCAGAGTAAGTATAGGCAAAAGTTAGTACACTGAAAAAAATTTCTGGTTGAAAATAATGAAAATGGACGAATCATAAATTTCTAGTTAAATTTATTAGAATTCTAGTTGAGATAACCGGAATTCTGGTTAATACTATATTTCTAGTAAAATCTACTAGAATTCTTATTTTTACCAGAATAATTATATTAATCAGAATTCTAGTTATCTCAACTAGAATTCTAATGGACATAACCAAAAAATTCTGATTCGTCCATTTTTCACCAGAGTTACTGTTTAATCCAATCAGACCATTTTTCTCAGTGTAGAATTGTGGTATTCACTTTTTAATATTTGTTCGTTATTAGATTTTTCAAGAAACCATTACAAGCGTTAAAAAACAAGGAATATCATAATATAATACCGTTGTGCACAGAAGTCATTGAAAGCCCTAGATTTGATAAATTACCTTCCTCTAAACTAGAGGTGGTGTTATTACGAGCTACATTTAACTCATTTCGGAGCGATTATTCTGCTGCGATTCATGATTTTAAAATTATTTTATCTAGTGAAGATGCACTTGATGATGTAAGGGTAAACGCCTTGATAAAAAAAGCAAATCTACATAGAAAAATTGGGAATCGATATTTGATTTTTAAGGACTTTGATTTAGCCGTTATGATAAATCCAAGTTGTAGCGATATCTACTATCATAGAGGACAGGTATATTACACACTTAAACATTGAACATATTTTTCTTGTGGCACACATGTAGTTTCCACGTATTTTGAAGCAGTGTATAACAATCTTATTTTGTTATTTAAGGCGTATTTGGATATTCAAATGCTAGACGAAGCTAAGCGCGATTTCGAAAAGGTCGTTGAATTGAATCCAAACTTCAGTGCGGCACATATGCAGAAATGGTATGCAAATTATCATTTTGCAGTATTGAACGGAGATTTAAGTTTAGCCGAAATGACTGTAAGAGATGTTGAAAAAGCTTTTAATATCGAAAAGTACTCGAATCCTCCTGAAAGTGTATGTTGTTGTATTTTGTATGCTCAGGTTGGTATAATTACCTATAATTTTGAAAAAAAGAAATAAAATCACAAATAAATCAAAAGTGATACAGGATTAGTATTATGTTGTACATGTTGTGATTTATTGATGAAATTTTTAATCATAGATAATGTCCAAAACTGAACAGTATCAAAAGGCTGATACTTATTTTGTTAAAGCAATAGAGGAAGATCTAAATTACGCTATTGTTTATCTGTCATTGTGGAACTGTAATCTTGATAACACTGTGGAATACTTGAACAAAGTATTAAAATTGGAGACGTGCTCTAATGGAGGCAGGCTTAGATGTATTGAAATGTTAAGAACAATCGAAATACAACGGTATGTTTTCAGTATAATTGTTTCTTACAATTATTATACATTGCAATTTTCAAAGTGAACCAACTGCAATTATCTGTTTGATTTATGTAAAGAATATGGTGATGTTTTAATGAAATTATTTTAAATCCATTTTTTCTTTCAGAGGGAACATAGAAGAAGCAATAAAATTATCTGATAAGGCTTTAGCATTTTGTCGCACATTCAAGGAACTGTTATACATATACAATATAGATGCTATAAAGAGACATCTTAATATACAACATCCATTTGGACATGTTATTCATTTCCTTCGATCATATTCTCAATTTATCGATGTTCAAAATGCACAAGAATCCGACAAACGTATCCCCATTGACAGCGATGGGCCATCCAAAGTGCCTTTTTCTGTAGCTGAATCGAAGGTTAAGAGCTTTCTATGAAAGCGTTCTCCATTCATTGCAAAAATACATTTATCCGTAATTTATAATCTTCGTAGTATATCTTATGAGCGTCTGCTTATTGGATTCCAAAAATATCTGAGTAATAGGTTTATAATTTCCTTCTTAGTATATATTTCCTCATTGATAGCGATAGCTGTATGTATACCATTAACTTCTCTTGATTATCGTTCTCACGAGCGATAAATTTTAGTAAATAATATATTGTCTGCAAACACTGCTGAATTTGATGAGATCATGAAATTCGTAGTAATAGAAATTAACTCTTAGAACTTCATTAAAATAACTTGAAGCGTCTTCCGTAATGGTATTATACATGTCTATAAACTTATCGTAAACATCAAAAAGGTAGTACTTTAATGACTAATACAAGTAAATTCTTTTATTTTAGACTCCTTTACAAAGAGCGCAGAAGTATAGGAACGAAGGAAATGTATGTTTCAAAACTGGAAAATATAATGAAGCTATTGCTGAATATACTAAAGCAATCGATATTTGTCCCAAGGAGAATAAGGATGAACTCGCGACTTTTTATCAAAATAGAGCGGCTGCGTATGAGCAATTGGTAATAAGATGTTTGTAATATTCATAATAAGCTTAACATGAAAATTTGATTTCAATTGATTGTCGAAGTTGTTGGTGATATGTGTTACTGTTTGTACAATTGTTGCAATTTTCAGAAAAAATATAGTTCCGTAAAGGCAGATTGTACAAAAGCGTTAGAACTAAATCCAAAATATATTAAAGCTTTGCTACGTCGGGCACGTGTATTAGAGCAAACGGGGGATTTGGAAGCAGCCTTGAAGGATATGACTACCGCGTGTATTTACGAAGGGTTTTCTAATCCTAATTCCGTAAAGGCACTAATAATCTTCGAAAAGCTTGGTGAGTTACATATTGATAGCACTTTGTATTAAGTAAAAATTATTCACGGCAAATTAGAACAAGATTTGAAACATAACAGAAATTTAATTGCAATGGAAATTATTTTTAGTGAAACAACATGCTCATGATGATTGGGCAAACAGAAAATTACTTATGCTAATTGATAAGGCTTCCATCGAAATTTATATTATATCTTTTTCTCAAGATCCAGTGTTTTCTAAACTTCGATGTCCAAAAAATATTCCAGAGTAAGTATAGGCAGAAGACTGTTTTTGTATATGTGATTATTTACTTTTTAATGTGTTTGTTATTAGATTTTTTAAAAAGCCACTACAAGCATTAAAAGATACGAAATATGATGACGTAATACCATTGTGTACGGAAATTATTGAAAGTCCGGAATTTAATATATTACCTTCAACTAAACTCGAGGTGTTATTATTACGAGCTACATTTTATTCATTTTTGGACAAATACTATCTTGCATTCCAAGACTTAGAATGTATACTGAACATCGAATATGCATCCGATGATGTAAAGATAAACGCCTTGTTAAAGATGGCGGACTTACGTCTGGCTATCATGGGTGATCTAAACATGGCCTTCATGCATTTCGAGTTAGCCATTAGTATAAATCCGCATTGCAGCGATATTTACTATCGGAGAGGACGGGTATTAAGCACATTAGCAGCATTGAGCATATTTTTGTCGCATACATATAAATGTACATATAAAATAATGTAACATTTCGTAATTTCAGTTATATATGCACATTGGCAAACTAAACAAAGCTAAACACGATTTTGAAAAGGCTCTTGAATACAATCCAAATTTTAACATGGCATGCATACAAAAATCCTATACAGATTATTGTATTGCGATGTTAAATAAAGATGTAAGATTAGTCGAAGCGGCTGTGAGAGCTTTCGAGAAAGTTTTCAAAAAATTTATAAACCTTCCTGAGTGTATAATCTGTTATCGTTATTATTGTAAGGTATATGAAACTACTTATAATTTTTTAAAAAAGATAATTCGAATAAAAAAGAGATAGGAGGAGAAAAATTATTACCATTTACATTTCGATTCATTGTTAAAATTTTAAATTTATTTTAGATGATGTCCGAAACTCGTCAGTACCAAAAAGCTCATATTTATTTTACTAAAATAATAAAGAAACATCCGGAGAACACATCTATGTCTTTAATTTATCTAGAGAGGGCCTTTTTGCAATTTGATTGGAGCGGTTATTATGATAAAGCTGTGAAATACTTTAAGAAAGCGATAGAATTAGATGAAAAGTGCAGTCTTGCATATAAAGCGTTAGGGATCATCGAAATAAAAAGGTACGTTTCCAATCGTTTCTTATTGTACTTTAAAATTTTTTGAATTAACTTATTGTAGTCACATACGTGACTTTTATATAAAAAAAGTTATTTCAATGAAAATATTCTGAATTCGAAAATTTTTAATGAAAGTATTCTGAATCCATTTTTTTAATTTAGGAGAAACCTAGAAGAAGCAATAAGATTGTTTGACAAAGCTATAGTGTACTGTCCTATATTTAAGGAACTGCTAAAACTATACTTCTTGAGAGACGCAGCAAAAGTAGAACTTAATGTCAAGAATCAATTCGGGGATAAGTATTTCGATTTTTTCGGTCGTTATCTTGGTTCGCGGATATTCGTGTTGCGAAGTACGGACGAATCCATCAAGGGTTCAGTTACGATTTTATGTTAAGATACCACTCTTGAACACTATATATATATATATATATATATATATATATATATATGTATGTATGTATGTATGTATGTATATATTTGCTGCTGCGCACGCGCGCTCACTTACTTAAGATGTCTTAAAAATTGAGGGGGCGGCGGAGAAAGGGGTGAAGGGAAGGAGGAAGAAGTGGGAGGAAGAGAGTGTATGCATTATTTTGTATTAGAAGTTTAAGTTTTTTTGTAATGAAATTTTATTTTTAACTACATTTTATCTCTATACTGCATATACAGAAGTTTTAAAATATTTGTTAGCAACTTAAGTTTGTAATCGACTTTTTAGAATTGTTTGAATTTTACTTTGTAAAATTTTATGTTTACGTAAGTATTAAAATTTGTTGCGTATTATTTATAAATCTTTTAAAATTTTTTAATTTCTAATTAATAAAAAAATATATTTATGTACTGCGTATACAGAAGTCTTTAAAGTATTAATTAGAAACTGAAGTTTGTAATCGATTTTTTAAAATAGTTTCAGTTTTATTTTGTAAGATTTTAAGTTTTCGCAAATATTAAAATTTATTGCGTATCATTTATATAGTCTTTTAATTTCTAGCAAATAAAAAAATATACGATATATAAATATATATATATGATTGGATAGTTTTTAGCCTTCTCTGAGTCACAATATCTAATTATGTACGCAATTGTACCTATGATATACAAAATAATGAAAATGTACAAAACAATAGAAATAATGTCCTTTTTAATTAATCATTCTAATATTCTGTTGAAATGTAACACTTAAATATTAGAGATGTTTTTTAATAATAATCAAAAGGAATTAAATCGTCGGCACCTAAAAAGAGCGATTATAGTTGCATTTATTTTGTAATTTTTTTATTTGCATTATCCTGGAAATTTTCTTTTTAACATAAAAGTTCCTTCTTTTGATTATACTTTTGAATATTAATTATATTATATTTATGAAAAAACGAAAAGTGATTATGACTGGTGTATCGCTCTTATTGGAGTTTTTGACGATGATGCTAAATTAATCAGGGTTTATCATCGTAAATCAGGATTGAAAAAGTTTCCGCTTGCGTTTTTAATGTTAGTTCGAAGTAAATATTTAATTGTTGCAAAATGCTATATTCTCTTTTTAATATATTAATTATCCATCTTTTCCGTTTTTTACGTTTTATAGATCTGTATAAACAGCGTTTGGAAAACGCACATTATGAAGGTGATATTAATCAAATAATTAAAACATTATCAGCTTATCTCGCTAATAGAACATTAGAGTTTGGAGGAGGAAGAAGTATAGCCTCTCGTATAAAACGCTTCAAGAGCTGTAAAACTTATAGATCGAAGAAGTTCTAATTTTACTAAAATTAGAAAAGCTATTATTTCATAATTACATTGCCTGAAATTGTATATTTATTTATTTTCAGGATATGATTAATAAAATTTTTTATATTTTCTATTTTAGAATACAAAAGAAAGCAACAGTAGAACTGCCGTCCACTTTAACTGATGCAAAAAAATCTTCGCAATATATATTAACAAGGATAAAGAAAAGATACAACTTTAAGATGCTATTTTATTAAGTTTAAGTCATAAAATATATCTTTATATATTTTTTGAAACGTACATACCTTTTTGTTCGTTTTTGAATTTATTTTTTGATTAATTTTTTCTTTTACACGATGTGATAAACACAGTTTTACTTTTTGTGTAATCATAAAAAAATGTACGTGTACTTATATTTAGATATAATATACGATTTTACATACACTGTTAGAAATGTTCTTAAATTTCATTAACTTTTAATGTACATTGGTAAATGAAGTTTAATTTCTCTGTAACCGAAAAGACTATTAATGCACATGTTAATGAGATTTAAGTTTACAATAACTGAAAAATTAAGTGTAATGAAATTTAATATACTTTTAATTTACGGATATAAATGACATTTAATTAATCGTAATTGAAATAACTATTAATGTACATATTAATGAAATTTAATGTACTTTTACATTTACGAATATTAATAATATTTTAATTAAGCCTAATACTGTTAACGCTTAACGTTTAATACGTTTACGTTTCTTACATGTCATTAACGTAAATTACTTTTCAGTTACAGATCTCGTACTTTTCATTAACGTGTAAATTAATTTCTATAATAATGTGTTCATTAATTTCAATACACACGTTCATTACATTTCAGACTACTGTAATTTAGTTTTTATTTATATCATTCATTACATTTAATTTCGTGCATAACCATACGCTTCCTTTACATGTTAATTAAAATTCATTGAGAAATTTCTAATATATATTTTTTAGTATATATACATATAATGTACAAATGTAAATATGTTAAGTAAAAAATTTAGTAAAAAAGCAGGAATAATATTTTAAATATCAAAATGAAAATATTTTTACGATTGTTAGATCTGAAAATATTCTTAAATATTTTTTCATAGAATACGACCTTTGTAACAAGAGATATTATCGAAATGTAAGTCATTCGAGAATTTATGTCGAATGCCATTAATTACTGCTTTAATTTGTATTTTATTTTTATATTATCAGTATATAATGAGTGAAATAATTAATCTTAAATATCTAGAAAATGTTTTCATAATTACAAATCTGTAATATTTACATTATGTAGCTTTTTGTATGTATTACAGGTTTTATATCTTAAAGATAATGTAATTTAAACGGTTACGTTTCTGTTACGTTACTCCCCCCTTACACTTGCTTCACACTCCGATTAAAACTTTATTGACGCTCGCTTTACGTTTTATTTTCACCAGGGAATTCCTCTGCCATTGACAAATCCTGTTAATTAAATCCATTTGTACTGTATCAATCTGCGCATATATTAATTACGTGATGCAATTAAGCTTACCGAGATAAGGTTGATGATATAAATTCATCGGTGGAAATGGCATAGGGAGTACTGGTCTTGGAAAAACATGCATAAGCATGGGTAGTGGCGGTACTCGAGGCATCAGCATAGGTCTAGGTAAACGCTAAAACAAATATCGATTTGTAGAAATAGTTACTTAAATATATGATAAACTGCTCAATAATACTTCAGGTAACTGCAGTTCAAACCTGTACATTTTATTCTTTTCGACATTGATTGAAACAAAAGTATTATTTTCTTTTTTGAACATTAAAATTAGCTGAACTTACCATGTAGGAGCTACGGATGCTATTCGAGGAAGAAAAATAAGAACATTTACTTATTTCGTTAAAGTCTCTCTTCCTCTCTCTACCTCGTTCACTGATTGGTGAACGACTTCTACTTCTAAAAGAGAAAAATACTGTTATATTCTCGTTACACAATAAAAGTTTTACATATTTTATTTAAATTATAACTTCATTAAAATAACTTCAGTATAAACATAAACAAATTTGCATTCTATAACAATATACAAGTCCGCCATGCATGCCTGACTCTCAAAATATATATTTATTAAATTTATTTTTTCTGAATTTAACATTTTCTTTTATTTTTAAATTGCTTGTATCTATTTATACTTTCTTTTTCTCATTTCTTTAGATCCTTAATAATTAAGTTTTATTTTGTACCTGTAACGAGATCTCGACCGATCTCTAGTGAAAGATGCACTATGACTACTATAATGTAATGAACTCCTATTTCTTCTTTCATTTCTATCTCTATCTTTCTCTTCGCTTTCCCTTGTTGAACTATGTCGCCTTCTGGAACGTAAGAAACTCTAACTTTATTTATGTATAATGCACATATATTATTTATGGAATAAAGACTTATAAAAATTACTGAATTTCTTTAATCTTTCAGTTATGATAGATTTTCTCCGGAGTTTAAACCACAATAATAATAACTTTGTCGAATGCAACATAAATTAAAAATTAAAAAATAATAAGATTTCATACAAATAGCATTTATTGTAAAAATTTAGACTCATCGTTTATCATTTAGCAATTTATTAATTCTTTATTCATTAATGAAAAAATTAGGACTAACCTGTCGCGGTTGTACCTTTTATTATTATCTACTCGATTACTTCGACACATAACTGACTTGTACGAGCTAGAATCACTGTGTTAATGTGTTGTTAGCAACATGTATATTAAATTACTATTACTACAATATCATTGTTTACAAACTTAATAAAATAATTATCAAGCCATGAATAACCGATTTTATATTTATGAGTTATACATTTATAATTGGAAAGTAAAAAATTGTAAGATTATCAAGATTTATATTAAATACTTCAATATAAAATATAATCTTAAAAATACAAATTTAAAAAATATGTAACTATACACAAAAATATTCAGATATTGACAATAAATAAATTTAAATTCAATAACTAACAAAATAAGATACATATATATGTATATATAATCCAGGTAGCAAGGTAACGTGATTTTAACGTTAAAATAACGATAAATAACGTCAACTAGCTACTTGGATACATCTATGACAAACAACTTTATATCCATAATACACATATTCATGTATAGCGCTGGAAATAAAAGATTAATAAATTTAAAATAAATACTTAATTGTGTGTTGTGCACAATTCATACATAATCTCAAAAGTCAAATGTAAATAATTTCCAGATACATGTAATGAACACATTCATATTCAATAAGCAATAAAAGAAATGAAAACATTCCTTGTTAAAAAATATTTAAATAAGTAGTTCAAACAACTTTATATCCATAATATATTTTGGTAGTATGTTTAATACATACTCTATCTAGAAAGTAAAATTATGTTTAAAATCGTAAAAATAATTTCGAAGGTCTATGATATATTTCGCTCATAACAAAAAATTTGATATATATTTACAAAGTTCATATTAATAAAAAATATATATTCATAGATTTTTCGGAATGTTGTAGAAAGTTGTCACTAATTTAATATCGAATATTACCACAAAAAATATACATCAATACATAAATCATTATTTTTTCTCTAATAAATATATAAAATGTAATTTTTACTTACATTATTTTACTTTCTAGCTTTACTGAATACATTCTTATCTCTCTAGATATCTTTTTCTTCCTCCTTTCTTTACTCTCAATTTGTACTTTCACTACTCTTTTATAATAATATATATATATATTTTTTCTTACCTGTGTTATACAA